TTTTTCAATGAAAGACCTCGGTGAGGCTGCTTACATATTGGGCATTAAGATCTATAGAGATAGATCAAGACGCTTAATTAGACTTTCACAAAACACATACCTTGACAAAGTTTTGAAGAAGTTCAAAATGGATCAAGCAAATAAAGGATTCTTGCCTGTGTTACAAGGTGTGAAATTGAGTAAGACTCAATCCCCGACCAATGCAGAAGATAGAGAGAAAATGAAAGATGTTCCCTATGCTTCAGCCATAGGCTCTATCATGTATGCAATGCTGTGTACCAGACCTGATGTGTGTCTTGCTATAAGTCTAGCAGGGAGGTACCAAAGTAATCCAGGAGTGGATCACTGGACAGCGGTCAAGAACATCCTGAAATACCTGAAAAGGACTAAGGATATGTTTCTCATATATGGAGGTGACAAAGAGCTCATCGTAAATGGTTACGTTGATGCAAGCTTTGACACTGATCCGGACGATTCTAAATCGCAAACCGGATACGTGTTTACATTAAACGGTGGAGCTATCAGTTGGTGCAGTTCTAAACAAAGCGTTGTGGCGGGATCTATATGTGAAGCGGAGTACATAGCTGCTTCGGAAGCAGCAAACGAAGAAGTCTGGATGAAGGAGTTCATATCCATCTAGGTGTCATACCTAGTGCATCGGGTCCAACGAAAATCTTTTGTGACAATACTGGTGCAATTGCTATGGCAAAGGAATCCAGATTTCACAAGAGAACTAAGCACATCAAGAGACACTTCAATTCCATTCGAGATCTAGTCCAGGTGGGAGACATAGAGATTTGCAAGATACATACGGATCTGAATATAGCAGACCCGTTGACTAAGCCTCTTCCATGAGCAAAACATGATCAGCACCAAGGCTCCATGGGTGTTAGAATCATTACTGTGTAATCTAGATTATTGACTCTAGTGCAAATGGGAGACTGAAGGAAATATGCCCTAGAGGCAATAATAATGTTATTATTTTATTTCCTTATATCATGATAAATGTTTATTATTCATGCTAGAATTGTATTATCTGGAAACATAATACTTGTGTGAATACATAGACAAACCAAACGTCACTAGTATGCCTCTACTTGAATAGCTCGTTAATCGAAGATGGTTATGTTTCCTAACCATAGACATGTGTTGTCATTTGATTAATGGGATCACATCATTAGGAGAATGATGTGATTGACATGACCCATTCCATTAGCTTAGCACCCGATCGTTTAGTATGTTGCTATTGCTTTCTTCATGACTTATACATGTTCCTATGACTATGAGATTATGCAACTCCCGTTTGCCGGAGGAACACTTTGTGTGCTACCAAACGTCACAATGTAACTGGGTGATTATAAAGGAGCTCCACAGGTGTCTCCAAAGGTACATGTTGGGTTGGAGTATTTCGAGATTAGGATTTGTCACTCCGATTGTCGGAGAGGTATCTCTGGGCCCTCTCGGTAATGCACATCACATAAGCCTTGCAAGCATTACAACTAATGAGTTAGTTGCAAGATGATGTATTACGAAACGAGTAAAGAGACTTGCCGGTAACGAGATTGAACTAGGTATTGAGATACCGACGATCGAATCTCGGGCAAGTAACATACCGATGACAAAGGGAACAACGTATGTTGTTATGCGGTCTGACCGATAAAGATCTTCGTAGAATATGTGGGAGCCAATATGAACATCCAGGTTCCGCTATTGGTTATTGATCGGAGACGTGTCTCGGTCATGTCTACATTGTTCTCGAACCCGTAGGGTCCGCACGCTTAAGGTTTTGATGACAGTTATATTATGAGTTTATGCATTTTGATGTACCGAAGTTTGTTCGGAGTCCCGGATGTGATCACGGACATGACGAGGAGTCTCAAAATGGTTGAGACATAAATATTGATATATTGGAAGCCTATATTTGGATATCGGAAGTGTTCCGAGTGAAATCGAGATTTTACCGGAGTACCGGGAGGTTACCGGAACCCCCCGGGAGGTATATGGGCCTTAGTGGGCTTTAGTGGAAGAAAGGAGAGGTGGCCAGGGCTGGGTCGCGCGCCCCTCCCCCCTAGTCCGAATAGGACAAGGAGAAGGGGGCGGCGCCCCCTTCCTTCTCTCTCTCCTCTTTCCCCCTCCCGAATCCTATTCCAACTAGGAAAGGGGGGGAATCCTACTCCCGGTGGGAGTAGGACTCCTCCTGGCGCGCCCTCCTCCTGGCCGGCCGCACCTCCCCTTGCTCCTTTATATACGGGGGCAGGGGGCACCCCTAGACACACAAGTTGATCCACGTGATCATATTCTTAGCCGTGTGCGGTGCCCCCTTCCACCATAATCCTCGATAATATTGTAGCGGTGCTTAGGCGAAGCCCTACGACGGTAGTACATCAAGATCGTCACCACGCCGTCGTGCTGACGGAACTCTTCCCCGACATTTTGCTGGATCGGAGTCCGGGGATCGTCATCGAGCTGAACGTGTGCTAGAACTCGGAGGTGCCGTAGTTTCGGTGCTTGATCGGTCGGGCCGTGAAGACGTACGACTACATCAACCGCGTTATGCTAACGCTTCCGCTATCGGTCTACAAGGGTACGTAGATCACACTCTCCCCTCTCGTTGCTATGCATCACCATGATCTTGCGTGTGCGTAGGAATTTTTTTGAAATTACTACGTTCCCCAACAGGTACTACGGCAGAGGGGTCAAGGGCGGTAGTACCGCTGTGGAGCGGTACTGCCGCTTGTGACCCTTCGGCCGTAGTACCGCAGGCAGTGCGGTACTACCGCTGGGGCGCGAGAGAGAGGGAGAAGGGATCTCTCAAGGAAGCTGAGGACCAGGCGGAGGTGCCAGGCCCCCATCGGTACTACTGCTGTGGAGCCACGGCGGTACTACCGCTGCAAAGCGGTACTGCCGCTTGTGGCTTCTCAGCGGTACTACCGCTGGGTGCGCGGTACTGCCGCTTAGACCTAGACAGAACAAGGAAGAGAGGAGAGATCTCTTCAATGGACATGAAAAGCTCGGAGGGTGAGAAGCTGATGTGTACGTGATGATTCCACCCAAGCAAAACCCTAGCGGACCCCCTCTTGATAGTACGGTGCCCTCTACGCAACTAGTCCACCGAGAAAGAAACGAAAGAGCTACACCGTCTTGAAATACACTCCGAGGGCAAGAACGCGTCTCGTGCCAGGGGAGAATCTGTGAATTAAACAAAGCACAAGATTAGTCCGCAAACATGTTGTCATCAATCACCAAAACTACCTTGAGAGAGATATGCCGTAACAACATCTCTCTTCTCATTAATTATATGTCACATACACAAACGATTGACCATAAAGAAAAATGAAGGGTTATTGAATTTTTTTAAAGCTAACACAACTTTATTAATTGAAAATAACGGTCATATCGTCTATAAGAAAAGATACAATATCGTTCATAGGCTCCTTAAACTACTCATTCATCGCGGAAACTCTAGCTAATCTAGCTAATTCGTGAGCAACCCTATTCGCTTTCTCTATTACAGTGTTTAAAACTACTAAGGGGAAAGTCACAAACCAAAAAATAGTAGTCATCGAAAATTGCCGCCGCTGTTTTCGCAAATTGTCCCCCATTCTTCATCGTGTCGATGACTTCCAAATTATCAGAGTTAATTACCAAGCGGTTGCATCCTGCATTTTGTGCCAGATATAAACCAAATCTTAGAGCCATAGTTTCTGCTGTCAGAACATCCACACAACAATCAATCTTCCAGTTTCCACTGACTATAAAATTTCTTTTATCATCTATAAGGACAGCTCCCGCAGTACCCCGGTACTGGTGGTTGGTGAAGGGTTCTTGAATAAGTCGTTCATGATTCGCTGCATAAGCAAAATGAAAGGTTCCTGAATAAGTCGTTCAAAGTTGACCGCAAGGCAAAATGAAGGGTTCCTAAGTAAGTTGTTCATAGTTCATCATTAACAGGTAGGGAAGTATGTTAATGTAACATAGCACACCGAAGGCAAAAAAGTCTACACTTAAATAAATAAAGACTTGCATGACACCACATATATGATAATACTCATTATGAAGATAGTAACATATGTGTGTTACCATGTTATGTCAGCGACAGAGCACAGGAAGACCACCAAAGGCCCAGCCCAAGACCCAAGCGCAAGCCTCAACTTCCGTCTCGGCTTGCAGGCCCAGAATGAGCCCTTGGCCTTGTAACGCTATAAACAGAGTGTTCCCCTTCTGGAGCAGGCGACGGCAGAACGACTGGTAGCTGGCAAGGATAGCGTGTGCGTGTGTTTCTCTCCTCCCTCTCGATCCCCTTTCCCCATGGGTTTGTAGCTTGAACATGTAAATCATGAAGTAATGGAGAGATAGCCTTGACATGTTACTAGTTTAAATTACCTTCCACTATGACGAGCCACACATAAGAAGGGGTCGTTGGTGTGAGTTGTCCTTTTGTTAGTGTGGAATTTTGGGGAAAAAAACAAAAAAAAAACAAGGAGAACAGCTACCGCGCAAGGTGGCATCAGCAAGAGTCTGATGAGAGGAATAGCTCACTCGGAAGTCAGAAGTAAGTTCGCTCTCGCGAGATATCCTATTACGGTACTGCTGCTGGCGGCGGCGGCGGCGGCGGCGGCGAGTGGTGGATGCGATACGCGGAGCGGCGGCCGCCGGCAACTCTAGTAGCCGGCGGGGAGTGTAGACTGTAGACTGAGTCGTTAGTCAATTGAGCGTGCTTCGGACGGGCCGTGGGGGCGTTACCTGATCGAGATGGGGCGCGACCGACCGAGTTGGAACTTGGAACGAGTGTCGATGTCGATGAGCATGAGCCGGCTGACGACGATGGCTCCGCGTTCACAATGGAAATGGCAGCAGCCACGTCGCCAAGCGCACACCACCACTCGTCCAATTCCAACTGCAATTGCCTTTCCATGGCATCTCCAGGCTGCTCGCTTGACCAAAGATGAGACACATTGCTCCGAAGAAAGCTAGCTAGCTATAGTCTCCGTGCGGCAGACATGCGGGGCACTGCTGTGCTAGCGCTACCGCCGGTGATGGTGGTGGCGCTGCTGCTGCTGCCGCATGTGGCGCTCGGAGCCGGAGCCGTTGGTGGTGGAGGCGGCGAGGGGGGCTGCGAGCGGCGCTGCGGGCGCATGAAACTCCCCTACCCGTTCGGCTTCTCCAGCGGCTGCACCATACAGCTCGGCTGCGACGACGACGACACCGACGACGTCGCGTGGCTCGGGCACGCGCGCGAGCTGGGACTGTTCGTGCGCAACGTCACGGCGCGCGCGATCACCGTCGGCCTAAGCCCCGACTGCTCCCGCCAGTTCAATAGTTCCGTCGCGGCGCTCTTCTCTGGCAATCACGCGCCCTGCGCCTGGAACACCCTCCTCGTTAGGTCATGCAGCCCAGCCGCTCAGGATCAGGATGCCAACATCAAGAGCTGCAAGGTCCCGCCTGAATACTACGGGCGCTGGTCCCACTCCCACTGCAGCGCCGACGAGTCCTTCAGCTGCATCGTCCAACGGCCTTCCAACACAAGCGGCCGCCATTTTCTAAATAGAAACGAGTTGCTCCGCTTCGAGTGCACTGAGCTGGTCTCGTCGATCATCAGATACGTGGATGCATCGGAGCCGCAGCTGGCGGTTCTGCTGGACGAGCTGGAGCTGGACTGGTGGGTGCAGGGGCAGTGCCGCTGCTCAAGCCACGCCAACTGCACCGCGTTTACCGCACCGACCACGGGGCAACAGGCGTTCCGGTGTGAATGCCGGGAGGGGTTCGAAGGCGACGGCTTCATCGACGGTATCGGTTGCCTGGGACTGGGAGGTCAGTACTCATCAATCACCACTACAATGGCTGCTGGATCCTTTTTTCTTTTCTTTTATATTTTCTGCTCCTTCATTTGATTTGTCCGTCGATTGTGCGAACGATCCACTTTTCAATTTCTTTCTTTTTTGATTGTTTAATAAATTATGTTTTTCAATAATAACTTACATGTAGCATCAAAAGGAGACAGACTTTTTTTTTGCGAGAAAACTTTCAATTTATTCATCTTCTATCATGACAGTACAACGAACACTAAAAATAATAAAAATTACATCCAGATTCATAGACCACCTAGCGACGACTACAATCATTGAAGCGAGCCGAAGGCGCGCCGCCGTCATCATCCCTCCCTCGCCAGAGTCGGGCACAACTTGTTGTAGTAGACAGTCGGAAAGTCGTCGTGTTAAGGCCCCGTAGGACAAGCGCACCAGAACAGCAACCGTCACTGATGAAGCATAACGTAGATCGAAAGGATCCAACCTGAAGACACACGAACATAGACGAACCACAACCAGATCCGAGCAAATCCATCAAGGATAGATCGGCCGGAGAGTCACATCTCCACACGCCCACCAACGATACTAGACGCACCACCGAAATGGGGACTAGACGGGGAGACCTTTATCCATCTTCAGAGAGCCGCCGACGTCTCATCTTCCTGAGTAGGACACAAACCCTAACGATGCTAGACGCACCACCAAAATGGGGACTAGACGGGGAGACCTTTATCCATCTTCAGAGAGCCGCCGACGTCTCATCTTCCTGAGTAGGACACAAACCTTAACAAATTTTGAAGGAACGACTAACAACGGAGTCCTTCCGCCGGCCCTTACCAAGATCCACTGCGCCCTCATGGCCCTAGGGCCATCGGAGACGAGACTGACCTGTAGCAGAGCCCGCGAGAGGCACGAACCCTAGCTTTTCTTGAAGGAGGATGCAGCGGCTGGAAAGAGTTCTTGCGTAGCTAAGGAAGTGGTTTATTTACTGAAACTCCATTCCCTGCCAACAGAAGCAGCAAAACGAAACAAACACCTGCAGCCCGCGTATCCATCAACTACTGCCCTTGTACAACAGTGCCTCTTCCTTTGTTGGAGTCTTTCTTTATGCGTGGCTACAAAACGATCTTGTATTGCAAGGAGACAGAGCTTGAGAGCATAATAGAAATAGGTACAGGGACAGGGACAGAGGACAACCCCTGTCTCAGGCCTCTTGTAGGCTCTCCTTAATTTCAATATTATTGAAGCGCACCCTGTACGTGACTGAGGAGACACATTCCATAATAATACTCACCAAATGCTCATGAAAACACATCTTGATCATCACTGCTCCAACAAAACTTCATTCAACTTCATCACAAGCTTTATTCATATCCAGCCTAACAGGACAGTAACAATTAGACCCGTGGGTCCTTTTCTTGATTGCATGAAAACACTCAAGGCATCTGCAATGAAAGACTCTTATGCAAATGCTTACAGTAAAAAGAATAAACATCAGAAAATCCAAAAATAAATAGGCGCTTTCTCCTCAAATGCTAGGCGCTAATATTAGAGCCTCTAATTACATAGGCCTGGCGCCTGTTTCTTTAGTCGTGTGGCCAGGAAAGGAGTAAGCACTCGATGCATCTGGCACCGGGAGCTGGGAACGGCTGATGTAACCGCCGATTGATCGGGAATTAATTCCTAACGTCCATCACTTGCGCGGCATGCCCTCATAAGCCACCAACGCATTACTAAACAGTATAACGCAGCTAGCTATGACTTCTTACAGCGATTTCGCGTCTTTAGCAGTCCGATTCTGCTGCTAACAGTCCAGATATAATTAGCGACCCGCGGAACATAATTGGGCACCTGCTCCGCGGATTGAACTGCGTGCGTTGTGGTTGATCCGGGCTTTCGTCGGGCCCGTTAGACAATCTTTAGCTCTCCTCTCTCTCTTCTCGGGACACCAAAAAAAACACATCCTCGGCCTCTCCTGTTCCGCTTCCGCCTCTCTCTCGCAGCAGTAGTGTATCGTCGCCTAAAAAAAGCAGAAGTGTATAGAAAAATTCCATGCGTGATCGGGCAGTGGCGGCAGCGGCAACGGCGACGTCCACAGCGTACTAGATGGACGACAACAAGATGGGATTCCGCCGCGACGAGACAGCACCGGCCAACCTAAGGCTGCCCTAGCCCATCACCCTAATCCCCTTGTCGTCGCGATGGATGAGGCATAGACGACAATTAGTGGCAGCAGGACTGCCCCTTCCGTTGGCTGCATCTCCTCGTGCGCGGTCATGGAGATGATCTTTAAACTTAGTCAGTTATTGTAGAGAAGCAGTTCTTGTTTCATCTGTTGAAATAATTTTATCAGGAATTTGGCTTCCATGTCAGTCTAGAACATGGTTTTGGGTACCGCCCAATAAAAACGGATAGCGGGCGGTAACCGCGAGAAAAAAATGACAGTTACCAAAGAATCGAACTCGCAACCTCAACACAGCCAAAGCACGTAGTTGAGGTACCACTGAGCTACTACCTCTTTTATGAATATCATCAGTTCAAGGTATTATTGTATCTAATTAAAATTGTTTGAATTCAAGATTCAATTGTAAATTTCGTCTGAAATTTGTTTGGTATTTCTCGGTAACCGTGGTTACCGGGAATATCGCCCACCCAAGATTTTTTTTCCTATTTGGGATCCAAAACCTTGGTCTAGAATCCTTCAATATTTAGTTTGGTGATGTACATGTGAGATACATTTAATTAGTTTTGCTAGCTGAATTAATAAACATTTTTATCTAGATTGTTCATGGTATGATGTTTTCAAATTCCATTGTGCCTACAAGTCTACACCTAAAAAATGATAGGATAAAATTCATAATTGCAACAAAGTGCTATGTGCCGTTTAGTTTTTGTTTAGGCATGAAGATAGATCCTTCTTTTCTTGTGTTTGTATAGGTGGACATTTGCAAATGCACAGATGTTGCAGCCATGAAGTTGACTCGTTTTTTTAAACAGGAATATAGTCACCATTCAAACTGATTGTTGGCAATAAATCTGTAATTTTACATGCTGAATCCAACTTTTGATATTATTTTCCTTTCGTGTAAATATGCTGATACATAAACATCAAGGGTTTTAAATTTTCTGCATTACACTCCATGTAAATATAGTTATCTCAAAATGGTTGGGTGCGGCAACACGCGCCCTCATGTTCTAGTTATTTTTAATAAGCCTGCTTGGTACAAAAGCATTTTGTGTTGAGGATATCACTTCTGTTAGAATTTTCTTAAGTCTATTTGCAAGTATTTTAGAGATGACCTTATAGACTACATTGCAAAGACTAATAGACCTAAACTGTGTGATTACCTCTGGGCTCTCCACTTTGGAGATGAGAACAACATTAGTACAATTCCAGCCCATAGGAATCTTCTTTTTGTTTATAGCATCCAAAACTACATCAGTTAGCTCGTCACCAACAATATGCCAGAATCTCTTAAAAAGGATAGCGCGCAGCCCATCAGGGCCAGGGGCCCATGTCCCCAGTTTTGAAGAGTGCCTTTCACACTTCTTCTCTTGTATAATCAACCGCCAGTAGATCATTCATGGCAGCTAATGGTAGAAGGCTTAATGGAATCCATAATCCCTAGATAAATCTTGCACGAGCTAGATGTGAATAAGTTACTAAAGTAATCCCTTATTAAGGGTTTGAGATTCTCATTCCCCTCGACCCAGCCATTGTTGTAATTCTTCAGTTTTTTTAATCAAATTCCCCCTTCTAGCTGAAGCAAATTGGTGAAAATATTGAGTGTTGCGATCGTCGGGCCGCAACCATCTCACTCCCAAAGGTTCTTATGGACTGAAGCAAGTTTATCTTTGATCATATGGTAAAGACCATGCTAAATGGCTTTCTTGCATGTCGTTTTCACCACCTCCTCTACCGTTTCTTCCGATTGCCACCTGGCCTCAAACTTTCTCCAGGCCGAGGGCTCCAGCCAGGTAGTCTATGTCGAGGCATATTGGTCTATGATCATACCTCCCCATCTCAAGGTTACACAGGCCCACGAAGGGCTGCAACGTCATCCAGTCAGCGTTGAAAACACCCTTATCCAGCCACTCCTGCGGCCCACCTCTAAACAAGGTAAATTTATCACTTGACAATGCCATATCTTCCAACAGACCATCTGAGAGTGTGTCTTAAGATGCTTGCTTTTTTCGAGTGGCGACACACCCTCCTTTTCCAAGGAGGATAAGATTTCGTTAAAGTCAGCAATGACAACCACACAAGACTCGACTGGGCATGTAAATCACGAATCATACGATATGCTCGGTCTTTATTATCCCAACTCGGTTCACCATATATTAAGGCATATTTCTCTCTATTAGTTTTGGTGATTGATGACAATGCAATTTGCGGACTAACCGTGTGGATTGAGCATTTCCGATATTCTTATATATGGCACATGACGATTTGCTCCCCTCGGTGATAAAGAGTGAAGACGGTTGTTTCCCATGTTTCTTTTTTTATGGATTTGAGTCGTAGGAAAACCGTATTGTTAAGACGGGGTCTACTTCGAAAAGGTTAGGGTGGAATCAATATGTACAAATACCCATATGCACCCACATACCCTTCCCGTGACATTGGAGGTCCTACTATTTTCTGTCTTAGTCTATCTTGAAGCACCCAAGCGGTAGTACCGCCTTGGATAGCGTCCGCATTCCAATGTTGCGGGCACTACCGCTTGTCTTAGGGCTAATGTGGTCTTAATTGTGTTCATGGTAGTAGGGGGTAGTACTGCTCTAGCGGTACTACAGCGCTAGTACTACCCCACTACCGCAGATTCTCTATAGCCCAGAGGAATTAGCGGCAGTAGGCCAGTAGTAGGGCAGTAGTACCGCTTGGGCGGTACTTCCGTTTTCTACTACCGCACTCACTTCCACTTATTTGAGTGCTTCTGTCCCCCTTGTCCACTTTTGTGGTAGTAACGCGGTAGTAGGGTTGTAGTATCGCTTGTTGCAGTACTCCGCTCTACCCACTCTCTACTGCCGCAGTTCCACTTCGTCCCGAGACACTCAGCGGTTGTACCGCTGGTGAGGACAGTAGTACCACTCCCCCGACGACACTACCACGCCTATGCAGTAGTACTCGCAGGCTTGTAGCTGAAACTACCGCTTAGTGCCCTCTATATAAAGGAGGTCTTCTTCCCCAAGAAGACTCACCTCTTATCCCCCCCAAGCTCCATTGTTGCCCTAAGCTCCATTTTCGCCCGATCTCTCTCCTTAGTCAACAAAACTTGTTGCTCTAGGGTTTGGAGGAGAAGGCCTCGATCTACACTTCCACCAAGAGATATTTGATTCCCCCCAACTAATCCCTTGCAGATCTTGTTACTCTTGGGTGTTTGGGCACCCTAGACAAAAGTGGTCACCTCGAAGCCGCATTCCATTGTGGTGAAGCTTTGTGGTGGTGTTGGGAGCCTCCAAATAAGTTGTGGAGAGAGCTCCAACCTTGTTTGTAAAGGTCCTGTCGCCGCCTTTAAGGGCATCACTAGTGGAATCACGACATCTTGCATTGTGTGAAGGTGTGAGGAGAATACGGTGGCCCTAGTGGCTTCTTGGGGAGCATTGTGCCTCCATACCGCTTCAACAGAGATGTGCCTCCCCCTAAAAGGAGGGACTTCGGTAACACATCCTCGTCTTCACCGACTCCACTTGTGGTTATTTCTATCCTTTACTTTGTGCAAGCTATATTGTGTTTATATCTTCTGATTGCTTGTGAGCTTGTTGTTGTGCTTGTCGTA